ATTATGATCCTTTTCTTTATAACAAGCATAAAAATCGCTAATAGTGTGCTGATGTCTTGGTAGCTAGCTAGCAAAATTTCCCGTTCCACCTTACATAGTCCAGCAGTACTGATGCCTAAAGTGCCAGAATGTAAGTGCTGCTCCGTTTAAGGTGGAATGGGAACATCTGACCAAGAAGTTGATGAATATCTGACTTCAGCTTCATATCACTGAAGAATTAGGGGAGGGTGATAATAATAATTGTCACCTCCCCCTCTCTGAACGCATATGACTCCCTGAATGTAACTAAAGCCCAGCAGTAAGGTTGCTGAACTTTACCCTCCTCTGCTGTCACTGCAGACTGGCAGGGTCGCCCGCCTATAGAGCAGCGCTAGTAGCCTGTTAGTGAAGTAGTGTTCTTTGTTATTTGAGGTTTGTCCCATTTTGTAGGGGAAGATTTCAAGTACTACCCCTCAGTTCCAAGGGGCAAGGTGACACTCGAGAACAAGGGGTAGGGGTGAAAATAAGAAATGGGATTGCTTCTAAGACTGATATATATATATATTGTGTGTGTGTGTATGTAACATATGTATGTGTGTATGGGACAAATACAGGGGAAAGGAGAGAGCGAGAGAGAGAGACAGAGAGAGATGGGGGGGGGTGGAGGGGCAGAGAAAAGGGGATTATGCCGAAAATGAAATGTCATGAAATGTCTCTGTATTTTTCAGGGTAATTAGGGGCCAATTTGAATTCAAATGTCTTCCTCCAGCCCTGATGAAGATAATAATGCAAGGCCATGGATTGAGCATGCACACACAATTATGAGAACCGCTCTGTTTGGGCTTGCTGGAAAGTGTGTGCGCGTGGGCGCGGACGTGTGTGTGTGTGTGTGTGTGTGTGTGTGTGTGTGTGTTTGCACATGCGCGGGACGAGCTTGACATCCGAAGGTGTGTGTGTGAGACAGGCTGGTTAGGTCGATGCTCGAAAGCAGCGGTGTCCCGCAGATCGCCCGCTGAGCTACAACTCATTCGCGTGCGCTACTTAATAAGCTCGACGGCTAATGAAGAGAGCGCCAATTAACGCAAATCAGCTCCTGAACGTGTGTTGAGACACGCTGTTCTGGTGCGAGTGCGCCGCTTCCTTTGTCCCTGGAAGAGAGTACAGCAGGATGCAGAGTTCAGCCCGCCAGTTTGGAGGATGGTGTGCAAACAGGCGCAGGAGTTCCCGCGATTTTGCATGGAGCTCATTCAGAGCGTTGTGTCCAGCGCAACGGTGTGGTTTCTCTGACAGCTGAGTCCCACGTGGCTCCCTACTCGCTCTCTTGCGCGCTACATAGGTCATGAAACTGGCTTCAGCACCCAATTAGTGCACAATGTCCAGTGGTCCCAAATGGCTGCCTATTAAATATACAGTGCACTATTTGGCTGCCTATTGGACATATAGTGTGGTACTTTAGTGCACTACATAGGTCATAAAACCATTGTACGAAATGTCCAATAGGGAACCATTTACCTGTGATTGATTCTCAACTAGCTCACAAATGGCTTCTTATATAGTGCACTGCGTAGGTCATGATGATGATCATGATAGCTTCAGAGTAAAATAGCGCACTGCATCTATAAACTGTATCTACCTTTACAGGAGAATACAAAAAAGTTTGATCTAATGTAAGTTAATGCCAAAAGATTTTATTCCGAATAATTTTGGATCATTTTCATTGGCCTATTCATCGTGGCCTTTTTACACAGTGTAAAGGGCAGTTGCTATGTTCAAATGATGTAGAAAAATAAAAAAATAATGGAGATATAGTACACTATATGGACAAAAATATTGGGACACATACACATTACACCTACAAGAGCTTTTATGAGATCCCACTCTAAATCCATAGGCATTAATGTGGAGTTGGTCCCTCTTTGCGGCCATAACATCTTCCACTCTTCTGGGAAGCTTTTCTACAATATTTTGGAGAGTCTGTGGGAGTTTTTGTCCGTTCATCCAGAAGAGCATTTGTGAGGTCAGACATTGATGTTGGACGAGAGGGTCTGGCTCGCAATCTCAGTTCTAGTTCATCTCAAAGGTGTTTGATGGGGTTGAGCTCAGGGCTCTGTGTGGGCCAGTAAAGTTCTTCCACACCAAACTCACCCAGCCAGGCCTTTATGGACCTTGCTTTGTGCACTGGGGCTCAGTCATGCTGGAACAGAAAAGGGTTTCCCCAAACTATTCCCATAAAGTTGGAAGCATATTGTCCAGAATGTCTTGGTCTGCTGAAGCATTAAGATTTCCTTCACTGGAACTAAGTGTTCTAGGCCAACCCCATACCATCATCCCCCCTCTACCAAACTTTACAGTTGGCACAGTGCAGTCAGGCAGGTAAATACTGTGCGCTTCAGCACTTGCCCACCCCTCTCTAAATTTGTGTGGTCTACCGCTTTGTGGCTAAGCAGTCGTTGCTCCTAGACGCTTCCGTTTTAGTTAACAGAGGCGGATCTAGCAGGACAGACATTTCATGAACTGACTTGTGGCAGAGGTGGCATCCTATGATGGTGCTATGTTTAGTCACTGAGCTCATCAGTACGACCCATTCTTCTGCCAGTGTTTGCCTATCGAGACTGCAAGACTATGTGCCTAATTTTTCCACCTATTAACAATGGATGTTGCTGAAACACCTGAACTCAATGATTAAAAACGGTGTCCCAATACTTTTGTCCATATAATGTATATACATGCACTACATTTACTGCACTATTAAGGTACAGAGTCCACACTGTACCTTAGCTAGTAAAGGATGCCTAAATGAACCCCAGGTCTAAGCAGTTTTGTTCCAAATGTTAAGGTGGGATGTTGGTCCTACATACACCCCCCTTTTTATTATGAAGTCTAAATGTGAATACTACTATATACATGCCACAAGCAAGCTGGTCATTAAATTGACGGCATGAAAGCAGGTCTACCATTAGACCTTAACACTGTTATATAGCAACACCTGCTACTCAAACTGTTAAATACCACACTTAACTAAGTTTGCTGGATCGCTTGTGCTGTTTTTGTGAGGTCATTAGGTTTATGGCTGATAAATGTCCTGCAGTGTTGGCTTGCATGTACCAGTATTCATACTGCAAGTCCCTAACCGCCCTGTAAGGAGGATCCAGTGATTAAAAATGTCCACAGGACATACAAACACATTGGGTTTGGAACATTTTTGTTTACCACAGCTTACTTGTTTTTCCCATAGATGAAACCATCTTGGACTCAAATTTCCTACTGTGGGCATAAAGTCAGCTACGACTTCAGATGTCTAATGTTCAGTGGCTAGCGTGTCCTGTTTGGGTGCAGAAGCCCTGACCTGTGTGGTGCACTGTATAGGAGACAGGCAATGTCAGTTTCATCTGCAACCAATACTGCAACAGGTAAACCTTCCTCCCTTTCCTGTATTTTTACACCTGAAACAATGATGGAGGACGTTTCCTCCTGCATTAGACCTTAGTTACACTCCCTGCACACCCTCCCCCCAACCAAAAAAAACACTATTCAAGGCTCTCGCGCAATCTGAGAGACAGGGGACGATGTGATTTATTACTGGTGAAGCATCTGATGCAAGTGCGAACCGCTTGTGTCTCTTTTTTTATTAAGTTTCGTGTCAGACTGCGATTCTCGAACAATTACTCATTGAAGGAAATGGCCACAACCGGGCCAATTCTTCTTCAGGAAGAGGCTCACATTTAAAGAAGGGGGTTCTTCAAGGGTTCTTTGGTAAAGGGGATGGATCTGTTCAGAACAATGAGTTCTAATATCATTTGCACGATTAAATTTTCCTCTGCATGGTGAACTTATCCTTCAAATTGTGTTGTGTATGGTTCTATATAGAACCTTTTTGAAAATGGTTCTGTATAGCACCAAAAAGAGTTCTTCTACACTCACAAGAAAAAAAAACATGTTCTATAAATAATCATGAACACTCAAAGAACCCTTTGCACGATTAAAGGGTTCTTTGAGGTATGAAACAGTTCTTCAGATTAGAGGATAATGTAGATGGAGATGGTTCTGTGTAGAACCTTTTAGAAAAAGGGTTCTATGTAGCACACAAATGGTTCTTCTATTATTACAAGCTTGACAGCGTAACAATATAAGAACCCTTTTTCAAAAAAGTTCTATGTAGAACCATCTCCATCTACATTCTCCATCAATCCGAAGAACAGTTTCATAATGCAAAGAACCCTTTTAATCATGCGCAAAGTTCTGTCAGTGTTCTTTATAGATACTTTTTCTTTACTGAAGAACCCTTAAAGAACCATCTTTTTTGACAGTGTATTGTTACAAGCTAACAACAGAAGAGCCCTTTTGGGTGCTATAGAGAACCCTTTTCAAAAAGATTCTATACAGCCATCCAAAACATTGAGGAACCCTTTCATGATGCAAAGTACCATTTAATCATGCAAAAGGTTCTTTGAGTGTTCATGGTTCTTTATAGAACCGTTTTTTACTAAAGAAGCCTTAAAGAACTATCTTTTTTAAAGAGTGTATTGTTACAAGCTTGACATCGTAACAGCAGCAGAACCCTTTCTGGTGCTATATAGAACCATTTTCAAAAACATATACAACACATTCTCAGTCAATCTAAAGAACCGATTCACCATGCAGAGAACCTTTTGAGCATACAAATGGTTCTTTGTTGAACTCAAGGCTCTAAATAGAACCACTGAAGAACCCTTGAAGAACCATCTTTTCTTATGTTAAGAGTGTAGGGTTTTTTCAGAGCTGTGTGCGGTTTCGGCCGCTTGGCGGCGCCGTTTCACTTCCAAAGCTCAGCGGTCTGCAGCGCCAAAGCGGCCCTGCGAAAAGTTTTTGTTTTGAATAACAATACGCGCGGGGAGGGCCGGGCGGCTGCGATTGGTCGGCGCTTTTCGGTTCTCGCTCTCGGATTGGTTGCGATGAGAGCGGGGGCGGGGCCGGCTGGGTCCCTCGCGCTCGGCTCCTGTCATCCGCGCGCTGAGAGGCTGAGGCTGGCAGTTTGAGTTTCTCCCTCTCGTTCGCGGTGTGTATCACTGTCTCTCTCCCTCCCTCTCTCTCTCTCTCTCTCACACACTCTCACTCTTTCACACACACGGCGTTTCACTGGCGATGTGACACGACGCTCGCCTACGGAATTACGACGGAAAGGAGTTCGCGGTTTCCACGAGGGGCAGCGACGGCGACTGGAGGAGGAGGAGGAGGAGGACGCCTTTGGCCATGGCCGTGGATGTGCTAACGTTCCTTCTGTGGGCCGTTACGGCCGTTACGGCGATGGAAGGTAACGTGAGCGTTTAAAACTCGCTGGATTTTCCTTCAGCTTTTCTCTCACGCGGGACTCGCGGCAACTTTCCTCACAGGAATAACTTGTTTTTTTGGCGTCTCGTCTGTGGCTGTGGAACTTTTTCTTGGCGGATGTGACACACGTGGAGGTAGTTGTTCTAGCTTGTTGTGGTGGGATGAGGATGGAGCCTCGCCTCTTCGGGTTTGTGGGACTTGACACCCCCCCCCCTCTCCTCCTGTAAGCTGCGCTAAAACACCGTGATGTAAAGCCAGGCCCGGTTCCCAAACACAGTCACTGAGAAGTGAGTGCAGAAATAAATGGAGCTGCACAGCAGGGAAGTCTAATTTGTGGAAATTACTACAAGCGAAATAAATAAATCAAATGAAAAGCAAAGGATCCTATGAAAGAGTGAGGCTTCGCATTAACCTCTCAATATAGCTGACAGAGCTCCTCTTTGGGTACCTCCTTAAAAAGATGGCTCTTCAAGGGTTCCTTAGTGAAGCAATGGTTCTATTTAGAACCATTTGACATGCTTAAATGCTCTTTTGCTTGATGAAGTGGTTCTTCAGATTGATGGAGAACATGTTGTTCATGTGTCTATATAGAACCCTTTTGAAAATGGTTCAGTGTAGCACCAAAAAGGGTTCTTCCATTGTTGCAATCTTAAAATTGTAACAGTAGCAGAACCCTTTTTGATGCTACATAGAACCATTTTCCCCAACACAATCAGAAGAACCTTTCCACCATATGTAGAGAACCATTTAAGCATGCAGATGGATCTGTATAGAACTTCAGATTGATGGTGAATGTTGTATATGGTTCTGTATAGCACCAAAAAGAGTCCTGCTGCTGTTATGATGTCAACAATAGATGATCCCTTTTCTCTTTTACCATTCAGAGAACGATTTAAGCATGCAAATGGTTCTATGCAGAACTTCAGATTGATGGAGAATGTGTTGTGTATGTTTCTATATAGCACCAAAAAGGGTTCTGCTATTGTTAATGTCAACAACAGAAGAACCCTTATTGGTGCTGTGGGAAACCGTTTTTCACAACACATTCTGCATATATCAGAAGAACCATTTCACCATGCAGAGAACCATTTAAGCATGCAAATGGGTCTATATAGAACTTTAGATTGATAGAGAATGTGTTGTATATGGTTCTATATAGCACTAGAAAGGGTACTGCTACTATTATGATGTCAACAATATAAGAACACTTTTTGGTGCTACATAGAACCATATAGAAGACAATCTGAAGAATCATTCCACCATGCAGAGAACCATTTTAGCACGCAAATGGCTCTAAAAAAGAACTGTTGCCTTTGCTAAAGAGCTCTTGAAGTGTGTATATTAGAGCAGTGCGTGTGATCATGATTCGGCTGTTTTCCGAGACCTGTTTTCCGTTTGCTATCGACAGGATGCTCAGTGCTGTAAATACAGCACAGTTCACCATTTGCCGTGACTTCAGCAGTGTTTGTTCTTCATACTGCGCTGCCAGAGCTGTTGTACTTAGCTAAAAAAGTTGTCTGCACGCAACAGCGCTGAGCTAGGCAGCCTGTCTAAAAGCATTTTCTCCAAAACTGAACTGTCAAAAATCCAAACTAAGGGTCCAGTGCATGCTTTTGCACCCCCACAGAACCGAGCCTGGGTGAAGCAGCGCTGTTTCTGAGCCGTGAAGTGTAATATAAGGTGGATTGTTACGCAGTCCAGCTGGCATGAAGATGTGAAGCGACCGGACCCTGTTCTTGTAATCACTAATAGTAACTGGCTCATATCTTCTGAGCCTTTTTCCCGGGTGTTGAGGTGTACGGCGAGGGTCATCGGTCAGGGAAGGATCTTGATTTGTGTTTCTGTTTGAAGACGCTTGTCAGATGAGTGTTTTCAGTGCTTGTCAGATGAGCCTGGAGTAGCCTGTGTGGTGTTTATGCTTGCCCTGGCGATTTGATAGACGGCTCTGGCTCCGCTAAGGAGCCACTAGCCGCTCTATTCGGGTCACGTCAGGGTGTGATTTATTCTAAAAATGACCAGGAACATCCGTGAAAGCAAAAAAGAGGAGAAAATATATCCTGCCTTGTCTGGCATCTGACAGATGGAGGTTGACTGGACGGTGCAGCGCTGCCAGAATTCAGTCATCGAGTAGCAGAGAAAGGCTTAAAGACAAGAGAGAGAGAGAGAGAGAGTTATAGAGAGGAAGTGAGAGAGAGAGAGAGAGAGCAACAATAGTCTCTCTCTTACCCACTCTTTCTCTCTGCACCTCTTTTCCCCCTTTTTCTCTCTCTCTTGGTTCTATCTATCTATCTATCTATCTATCTATCTATCATCATCACCTCCTCTCTGTTTTTCTGTTTCTATGTTCCCTCCTCATCTGTCTTTCTCAGTATTGTTCTTTCCTTCTTTTCCTTTCTCGGTCATTTTCTCTCTTTCTCGCTCTTTCGCTCACTCTCTCACTTGCTCTTTCTCTCTTTTTAACACTCACCCTCACTCTGCCTCCCCTCTCTCTCTGTTTCTCTCTCACTCTCTTTCCTTTCTTATTCTTGCAGGCTCTCTCTCTCTCTCTCTCTCTCTCTCTCTCTCTCTCTCTCTCTCTCTCTCTCCCCTCCTCCCCCCCCCTCTGTCTTTCTCTCTCTTTCTCTCTCTCTCTCTCTCTCTCTCTCTCTCTCTCTCTCTCTCAGCACACACAGGTTCAGTCAAGTTCACATTCTTGAAGGTTAATTGTTTGTGATTTCCGATGTTGGTCTGTCGAGAGTCGATTGAGGCTCTGACTGCGCGCTTGTTTCTCATTCTTATCTCTGAGAAAGCCGTTCAGGTCAATGTGAGCGAGCGACATCGGTGCTGTACACTTCCCTGTAACCTCACTGTAATCTGAAAACACTCTGTGTTCTTACTCAGTCTTTCTTTACATGTTATACTTTCCTCTTTTCACTCCAGGAGCCCGGGCGAGTAAAATATAGCAAGCAGAGTCTTAGCGTGGCAGGATAAAGTCGAGCAGAGCTGGAGAATGTAAGAGTTTGTAATTGATAACAGCTCGTAAAGTGTTGAGGATCGTTTAGTGGGCCGTACTGTGGCTAACCACAGCAGATGGACTGGGCTGGGTGGGTGGGAGAATATATGGGCGGGGGACACAGTGATCTCACTTTTGGTGGCTAATTGAAAGGGAATTGGTCTTTGGCTGGTTAAGACGGTCTGTTGCAGCATGTATGTGTGTGTATTTGCACCAGCTTTGCTCTCTGTGTCACAATGACAATCAGATTATGCGCCTTTAATCGCCAAATCGTCCCAGTGATCACAAACGATGTGTCAAAAAACGGAGACGGAGAGAGAGAGAGAAAAAAAGGGGGACCATCTGGGGTATGGAGAGCGCACTCCGCTTACTCCTCCCTCCCCTTGCCAGTGGACAGCCAAAGTGCCCCCAGAATAGATCTGGCCATCTTCAGATCGGCAGCGCCGGCCATTAATACCACACATGAATTATGAATGCATTCATTTGGCTTTGCAGTTGTGTAAGGTCCTGTTAATCCATTAATAATTGACCAGAGATGAGGTATTAATAGCAGCTGTTGTTCTCAGATCTCTCTGTTGTATTTATTTATTTATTTAGGTATTTATTAATTTTAAATTCATCACTGTGTGGTGAGGACTGGAGCACATGACAGTGTACTTACAACTTCCATGATCATCCTGGCTGAAGTTCACGTTTTTCAGGATTTTCAGGGTCAAAAAAATCTTCCAGGTGCTTTGCGTTACGCATTCTTAATCTCAGACAAGCTTCTTTTCCTAAGAGGTTCCTATTCCTAAGCCTATTAAGTCAAGCTTAGTTCAGAGGTATCCAGCTAACGATGTTAACCCGTCCTAAGAAGACGTGTGACCCAGCCTACTCTAAAGAAGGGGTTAAACTACAGGGAGCCATTGGGAGGTGACCTCCTGCAACTGAGATCAGAATAAGAGCACGTAAGGGCCACTATTTGAGCTATTACACAGATTTTAAGGTTAAATTGAGTTCTTTTTGAGTTTCCAACTTTGCAAAGAACAGAACAAAACATGCTTTGGGCACCTAACTTCAGCAGCTTTCCATTGGCTGCCAAAGTTTTTCTGTTGTTTTTCTAAACACAGGGAAATTATTGTATGTAATAATTGAATGCAACATGCAAATGCAGCACAGATTCGGTAGAAAAACCCTGACATATTCCTTTAACAGGACTCAGATCAAGAAGTCATGGAAGCAATACAAGACTGGTCAAGCTTCTCTTTCACTCAGAGCTTATTTGAGCATGTAGAGTCTCTTTGAACTTGGAAATCGTGACAAAAATCACATTTCAAACCACAGCCTGACTATGAATTTTGAGGAAAAATGTACTGCTGGATAAAACGACCAGATACAGATTTATCTTCAACCAGCCAAGTTCTTTCTACATTTCCATCAGACCCATCTGTCCATGGTTTGGGGTGTTTTCTTCTTGTTTTGTGTGTGTTGTGTGTACGTGACAAAAACAGCGGCCTAATCTCCATTCTGCCACACTGCGGGGAAGCGTCATTACAGACAGCATCGTCCCTGCTTTCAGCCCTAATCAAGCCACCTGGGTCCACCTGCATTTACTGAATGGCTTTCTTTGTTGGATAAACGACGCACACACGCGCTGTTATAGTGCCTCATTGGCAGTCATGCAGCACCATTAGCTCTGGAGATGCTAATTCTAGTAGTTTGAGTTGTAGTGGTTCGTTTGTGGCTGTGGAGTTGCCAGTAAACTGCATGGCTACAGCTCACACTGGTTTTAGACTGGATTTGAAATGCCGCTGCCTCTTTGCTTTATCTCTTTGGGCATTTTTTTTCTTCTTCTCTCTCCCTCCTTACCACTTCCATGCTAGCTTTTATGTCCAACGCATGTTTTGTAGGTCCTGACCGATATGAAAATTTCAAGGAGCTAAAATTGCAGTAGCACATACTATAAGCCTATGTGGATTAATATAGTCTAAATTTAACTCCAGTAGTTTTAG